TTGGAAAGGGACGTCGATGTTGCGTGAGAGGGCTTGCAGGATTTGAGTCGTTGCGAAATTCAAAGGGCTGTTCACCGCCCGCTTCAACGTTCATTCTATGCCAAAACACTTCCTACGAAGAGCCTCTCGAACAATTTAGCTTCGCTATGTGCTACGAACCTCAAAAAGCATATACCCCATACTGGGCGTTTGGAACGGGCGAAACATTCACCAGACATGCTCAGTCACGACATCACACATATCATGGGAGACGAGGAACAGAAGTCTAACTAACGTCAATCCATCTTAGCATTACTCATGTATCTATCCAACAGTGCGTCTAGCCAGGCCATAGCCAAAAGGACTCATACATCCGTAAAGCCATATCGTAGTAGCAGACGCTTGTCATCAAGTTTCCAGCACCCAATCAAGGTAGTGCTGCCTGTTCATGATCGAAGAAGAAGAAGAAAACACCGCCAGGGAAGCTCCCATCTTCACCTCGATCGACCACATGTCTCGCAGACCATACAGTGTCCCTGCCTCCCTCCCTCCCTTTCCCCCGTGAAAAACTGAAGAGTAGATATAAGTGTAGTGTTTAGTACCCAAAATATAACAAGGCATAAACATATTGCCATGAGAAGAGGAAAGAAGCCAAACAATAGCATCCACGAAATGGACAGCGCCTCCAGACCCAATGTTTCGTTCGTACACTACCCGTAAATGCCAACCAAGACCCCGTGTGCAAAGAGAAAACCAAGCAGCGCAGATCAGGGGGTATCCCGTCTTGAGTGTGTTTTTTTGCTTTCCTTATCCAACAATGATAAAGTCCAATACTAAGATGAGGTTGGACAAGAGGGAAGAAATCTATGCGATGCAAAGCAAAGAATGATGTCATAAACATAACGGCGTCAGTATGTGCCGATTACTCGGGGATAGCTTCGTTGGATCCGGGGGCAGCGGCGGCGCCCTCTTCCTTCTTGCCCCAGCCGGAGGCCCAGCCCATCCAGCTGGATCGCTTGTTGTTCTCTTGCTTGGCCTCGTTGTTCTCCTGCACCAGGCGCAGAGGACGGGGCTTGTTGCCAGCGAAAGTGGTCTGCTTCTCGTGGTGTGACCGCGGCGGGGACTGCGAGGGAGGCGTACCCGTGAGGTCGTTCGAGTCGCCGCTGGTGCTCGAGGTTTCGCTGCGCATGCCGGGGAAGTTTCCTGCTGTGGGTGCTTGCTGGCCACTGGGTGCCCTCGCAGCCGCATTGGGGTTGCCGCCGAAGAAGGTCTGCGACGTTCGCGGAGTACGGGGGGAGCCAAGGGGTGGGGAGATGGGTCCGTCCGGTCCCCGATACATTTGGTTGACGAGGTTGACACCAGTGAACTGCTCGCTCATCGGGCGCGCACGACGGGTGCTAGAGGAACGGGTCATATTCCCGATGGGGATGCGAGGCGCCGTCTCTGGGTCCGTATGTGCCGAGTTGGCTGGCTGGGCCGAAGGCATGTAAGACATGGGCCTTTGTTTGGGCTTGTTCGGACCGACGGCCATGGTCTTGGCTCGTTGCAGTAGCGACGCTCCGGAAGCGCCCTCCTTCGGCGGAGCGGGGAGGTCTTTGTTGGTGTTTGCAGCCGGCTTGATCTCGGTAGAGGTATCCAAGATGTGCTCGAAATCTTGATGCTGCAGGAGCCTCTCAATAATCTTGTTAATGTAGAGGGTCAACGCCTTGTTCTGGTCCTTCATGGACTTGAGCTCCGATTCGAGGCGGCGGGCATGCTCGTTGTCATTGCCACCGGCATCTGATGCGTCCTCGGACAGCTCATCCGCCAAGCTCGCGCCTCCGGATCGGCCCTCCAGCGCATTGAGCGCATCCTGGTTGGCGGAAACTCCCATGTAACTGAAATCATTCTTAGAGAAATCGCCATTGAGGGTCTTTTCCTGGAGAAGCAATTGATAGCTCTCGTTATCCTCCATGAGGCGGGCATTGGCCATGCGGGCTTCCATCAGCAGGCGTTCGACCTCCTGCAGTCTGCCGCCACCCTGGTTCTCAGACTCAACCAGTTTGATTTGGGCCTCGGCAAGTTCGAGCCGCAGAGATTCGATCAGCTTATCCTTCTGGAGCAAAAGCTTCGAGTTGTTCCGGGAGTCGCTGCGGTTGAGGGACGAGGGAGGGGCGAAACTGCCGTTGTCAACGTTGGGAGATGTTGCCGCTGCTGAAAAGGTGTTAGCTTTGGGGCTGCTGATTTGATAGAGTGAGACTTGCATTGCCTTGAAGGACGACCCTCCTCATCATTCCGTTGCGACAAGTTGTCCTTGAGTCTTTGGATGATGGTCTGCATCTCCTCCTCTCTGTTGGACATTTCTTCCTTCTCCTTGGTCATGGAGCTTCGCTCGGCCTCGTAGATTGCTTCCATCTCACGCATCTTTTTGGCGGCATCTCTCTTCTCGTTTCGCAGTGTCTCAATCTGCTCTTCCGTCTCATGCACCTTCTCCTCCAGTTTGGAGGACTCCTTGATTGCATCGTCTAATCTCGTCTGCAGCACTTCGACCTGTTTCCTGTACTGATCAGAGGAGATCTCGGCCTTGGAAAGGCGTTCCTTGAGGTCGTCCAATAGCGCAAGGGTCTCGGCTCTCGCAGCCTCCTCGGCCTCAGAACTGCCATTGCCGTTGCCGTTGCTCAGAACAGAATCCCGTCTTGTTGCGGCTGCACGAGCGGACACGGGAGTTCCTGAGCGAGCAGGTGCTCTGCGCGCAGCAGAAGCGGCGGTGGGCGTGGATGATCGCGTTGGCGTTCTCGTAGGAGAAGCAGGTGTTGATGCAGAATCTGTAGAGGAAACGCGACCGACGCCCGCAGCGGGCGGTTTCTTTGCTGTAGCAGCTGACATGGTATCGCGGTGAGGGTTTGTTGTGGCGATGATTGTTGTTGTAGTTCGCAGCGGAGGGTTACCTGGGGAAACGGAGGTAAGCGGGGAGATTCGTCGAGAGGAGAAAAAGGAAGAAAAAAGGAGAGTTGGCGGTCAAGAGCAGTGCAGAAAGTTATTTCTGTAGTGACGATGTTCCGTTCCAGAGAGAAGAGGCTATCTCACCAAATGTATGTAGTTGCTTATCCTTGGAACAGGTGACGCGGAATACACGACAACGGGAAAGTTGTCGATCGTTGGGCTACCCAGATATGCGAAAGGCAAATAGTAGCCAAATAGGAGAGTGCGGTGCAGAACGGGAGGGTGTGTAGCAGCAGCTTTGCAAGCTTAAGTCAGACGGTGTCAGCCCCAACCAGTGCCTCTCAGACAACCTAAGTACTTTGTATTCGTAGGTAGGTAGGCAGGCACGTAGGTAGGCAAGTATGGAGTAACGTAGGTTCTTGCCCGCGGTTCCTCTCTTCTTTTCGACGGGAGGTGCAGCGAGTGTCGGTGTCGGTGTCGGTTGTCCAGTCCACAGGTTGCAGTGAATTTCCGATATTTCGGGGCTGCTACAGGGGGTCTAATTCGCTAGGCCGTGCAGGAAGGGGAAGACGTGGGCCAACCAGGAAACGAGGAATGGAACGAGAACAATGCTCTTCACCCTTCCAACCCCGGTGCCACTAAACGTTTTCGCCGGGCTGCGTTGCTTGAGCGTCCTGCAAGTAGACAGGAATGCCGTGGACGCACCAATTACCTTAACTAAGGTTACCTGCGAACGCCTCCTCTGACGACTGACCGTCACCCAGCAAAGCCTAACCGTAGGTACCTGATCAGGTATGGTAGGTCGCCGTGGAACTCTTGGGTGGTTTGACACCTTCTTGACGGCGCAACTTAGTGTGGTAGGTCAGGCAACGAAAACCTTCTCTGGCGTGCTATTTTCGATGAATCTTTTCCCTCCCTTTCAGTCTCTTGTTCGGTCCCGTATCGCGTTGCGCGCTGAGCCGAGACTGAAGTCGTTGGGATGCGTCCGAGGTAACTCTGGTTTCAGTCCCGTCTCTTGGTCACCCGGTGCTCGCAGCTTGAGTGGATGACGGGCAATGATGGCAGTGCCAGGCAGTGGCCAGCGCTGCGAATGAGATGCTGCAGACGCCGTCTCGTCTTTGGTTGAGATGGGATGAATGATAACCTTCTTTGGGTACCGTAGAATTTCTTTCCGAGTTCCTGGGCTACTCGGGGAAGCTGGTCTCAAGTAGGTGGCCTTTATGAACTGGAGGATTATCAAGTTCGTTTATAGACCGATTCACTGAGTAATTCCACGCTCATCGCGTTCTCGATAATAACAACACATAGACCGCAAGAACCGTCATGAACGAATAGGATCACAATGCGTCCTGGCTCCCGACTGAAACACCCTCGTTCGCCGTCCACACAGCCAGGCATTGCCCTTGGTGGGCAGCTCTTGGTCATGTTCCCTTCACTTTAGCCTGTACTACGACTGTCTGCTGGTTAACTGTCAAGAGAACTGGTACCTGACAGTAGCAGACAGCCACCAAGCTGTCTTAGCAAGCACATGCAACGGGTAGGGGTCCCGCGCAATCTGCACCCCTATTGTCCCCGTGGTGAGCAGCCGGAATGCGGAGACCGTCGATGTTAGTGGGCTCGGCCCGTCTTTGTACCCAGGGATCCCATCGAGTCATTGGACGGCACTTTGCACGAGACCGGCCAGAACTCACCGTGGTGGGAACCGTGAAATTATTCTCATGTTGCCATCAATGCAAAACCTCTGACGGCCTTCCACATTCAGGTTCAAGGCCTAGAAGCCCTGCCAGAACTCTCGCCAATTTCCCGACCATGAACAGGTAAAAAATGGTAGGCATTGGGCTCGACAGACTTGACAACCAGATGCTGGTTACATTCCGTGCACAGGGGTGACGGGAAGGAGCCAGCTCTCAGGCCTGGTCGAGGTGTGGTACATGAACCAATTATCACTCGATGGCAACAAATGAAATCTTCGCGAAGTCGGATTTGGCCAGATACTACTACCTTACGTTTGGCTACCATATCATTGGAGTTGGCGGGTTGCATCGGTTCAAGTATCAATGGATGTTGAAAGGTATTCGAGATCCAACTGCACAGATGGTCATCGTAAAATGGCTGAGTAACAGGCGAGTTCTTTTTGATTCAAAGTGCCTATGGTCTTTCGTAAAGTCATGTCCTTTTGACAATCCTGAGGTATCATAGCGGCGTATCCCTAGCCGCGATCCCGATTTGCGGGACGCATTTTTCCTTTTCCTTCGACCATATTCCCCAACGCCGTTACCAGCCAGACCAGACTCAATCCACTTAAGCGACCTGGTCGCTGAGGATGTCGGAGTCACCGGCATCAATGATGGCCAATGTACCGCAACGGAAGAGCTTTCCAACGGCAGTTCCCATCTCGATCTGAAGGGGGGTAGCAAGTTAGCTTTATTCACCCTCCAAAGCCTGATAGACTTCTTCGCTGGGTTGACCAGGAGACTGGAGGTCTTCGAGATCGGTAGCAAGAGAAGGCGGGGAGCGAGGCAGTGCCAGCTCCCTTGAATGCGAGAACAACTTACGTTGGTGCCACCGAAGTGGTGAACGGGGACCTTGCTCAACATGGCGTAGTACTCGAGCTCAGACTTGCGGAGAGGAGGAGTGTTGCCAGCAATCAGCACGAGCTTGGCCTTGCCGGTGCGGAGGGTCTTGAGGGTCTCCTTGTATCCCAGCACGATGCGACCAGACTTGACAACAAGCGCAAGCTTGCTGCGAGGAAGTTAGACATTTGCCGAAGCAAGATAATTAGAAACAAGACAGCATACCTGTTGATGGAGTTCTGGTCCTTCTTCGCCTTCTTGATGGGAGCCATTGCGAATGATTTGTCGGGTGAATAGGCTGGATGGTTAGGTCTGGTGGTCGCTGGGCGTTGAAGCTGGTTGTCAATCTCAAAGGAAAAAAGATCGCGGAGTTTTGGAGTTTATTTTTTCGATTTGTAAGCCCCACACGGCGGGGAGTCACTTCGGCAAGGTGCACCCAATCAACGGCGCGGATTCACCGCGCTCTTAACCCTAAAGTGGATCCCGGGATGGCCACCTGCTCATTCCGCTTTGCTGAGAAATCAATCGTATTGACCTTGTCTGATCGCAATCGCCGCAACCTATTCAAAAGTGAGTGACGCCCAGGTTCTGGAAACGAATCCCATCCCACCAACTAACCAACCCACAGCAGTAACGAGTGATCCCGTGAGATCTCAATACCGTCAAAATGGCCCGTCGTCCCGCTCGTTGCTACCGGTACTGCAAGAACAAGGTGAGCGACTTCCGTCAAATCCTGGACCCCCGCGAACTCCGACATCCCACGAAATCCCACCCATCGAACGATTGAGAGAGGAGGACCAAAGTGCAGGTTGGGAAGAGGCAACACTATCGCTGAGAAGACGGGCAAAATTTTCTCTGCTTTTCAACGATCGGAATGACGCACTTGACGAAGTGGGATGTTGGAGATTGTCGCAGGCCCAGGCCCGGAACAATCATTCAGACCTTGACCGTCATACTAATCATTTTTTCCCCAGCCGTACCCCAAGTCGCGCTTCAACCGCGGTGTCCCCGACCCCAAGATTCGCATCTTCGATCTTGGCCGCAAGAAGGCGACTGTCGATGACTTCCCTCTCTGCATCCACATGGTTTCCAACGAGTATGAGCAGCTGAGTTCTGAGGCCCTCGAGGCCGCTCGCATTTGCGCCAACAAGTACTTCGTCAAGACCGCCGGAAAGGAGTCCTTCCACCTTCGCGTCCGCGCCCACCCCTTCCACGTCGTCCGTATCAACAAGATGTTGTCTTGCGCCGGTGCCGATAGACTTCAGACTGGTATGCGTGGTGCCTGGGGTAAGCCCAACGGCACTGTCGCCCGTGTCAACATTGGCCAGATCATCATGTCCATCCGCACTCGTGACTCCAGTACGTTATTACATCATTCTGAGATCTGTGGGAAATGATGTCACTAACACAAAAAAACAGACAAGGCCACCGCCCTTGAGGCCCTCCGCCGCTCTCAGTACAAGTTCCCTGGTCGCCAGAAAATCATTATCTCCAAGAACTGGGGCTTCACCCCCCTTCGCCGCGAGGAGTACCTCGAGAAGAAGGCTGCTGGCCGCGTCAAGGTCGACGGTGCCTACGTTCAGTTCCTTGCCAACCACGGCAGCCTCGAGAAGAACATGAAGCGCTTCCCCGATGCTTTCGCCTCCGAGGCTTAAGTTAGTGGTTTCGGCTTTCTTCTGGGATTTGGGTTTCTACGGGCTGGCGTCTAAAGTGGTTGCATGTCAACATGATGAGAGTCATGCCGCGGCAGACTCTAGATAGGAATTCAATCATTGACACTTCACACATCATGCCTCTATGCTACATGACGAATGGGAAAGGGATTATCAACTGTGTACTAGCATCATGATGAGTTGGGCTTTAGAAGACGCTTGATGATCGAGCCTAGCGGGAAATAAAAACAGATACCATCCATTCTTTTTTGAGACGTACAGGTAGCCAAGATGCGTGAGGCTGAATCGGGGATGATGTCAATCTGAAATGGGAACGTTTTTAGTGAATTGCTGTGCCAGACACTTTAGAGCCCGTGGATCACCCGCGGCAGAGGGTGACACCACGAGGGCAGGCACGTCCTCAGCTGGGTCACGCGGACGAACACATCCAACCATCATCTGCTCAGCTTCGCCTGGGATGTCTTGACACTGACAGGAGTCACTGAGAGGGAACCACCTTCTAATTTCAAGAAATGTGGCGAGGTTTGATGCTGTATGGGATGGAGCCTCTGTGAGGCAAATAGTACGTAATTCATGCTGAGAAATGCTCGAAGGAGAGAAGGGAAAAATCTTGTCCCTTTTCTCCCGGGATCCGGAAAGTGACCGTGATCTCGTAAGCGCAACGGCTGAATCAGACACCATGAGCTGAGATTCTACGGGCACAGGTCCTGGATACATCTTATGAACAAAGTACGCAATAATAGCATCTTACTTGCGTAACTGCGGTCATGTATCGTAGTATTGGGAGCCAGTGCAGGAACAGCCCGACAAACCGCCTGAGTAGCAGCCCTGTCAGAGGTGCAGCAGCAGGTGTAAGCGCAGGACGACGGGATGGGTGCGCGCCAGTCAGAGGCGGATATCAAATCTGGGGGCGAAAGGGCGGTTGGCGGGAGTGAGATTGGGGTGCAGACACCGACCAACGGAGAACCTGGAACAAGCAGGCGGTCGAGCCGACGAGCCAACTCTCCCAGTGTGCTATTAGTACCTATGTACTTGAGTAGTAGGACTCAGAAGGGGGACGGTATGGTGGTGCAGCGTGGGCGGCGATCAGGTCCCACCGAGATCCCAGGTGACCTAAATGACGTTATCGGGATTTCGGATGGTGCTCGGTGTGAGACCTTTTGGAGAGACGTTGGAATAGGGAGGTACCGGTCCACAGAGTTTGGAACGTCTTTCTGGACTATGGACTCCCGGGTTGTTTGGTTGAGGGAACCGGAAAGTACTTTGGGGCCCTCTGACTTCTGAGAGTTTACGACTCGTGAGAGGTTCGAGAAACCTCCCCAAGCTTGCTCCGAAAGTCGGCATGTTGGACGCCAATTACCCGAAAATGAGCGAAAAGAGTCAGTTTCCAGAGCATCCAGAGTGGAATGGTGACACATCGGACAAATTTTCTCCTGTCCCGTCCCCCCCTTCCGATGCTGAATGGGCCCTTAGCATATCTGGTAGACTCGGAGCTGGGAGGGGCATTGATCTCGGTGATAAGCTGACGGGTGGTTGTCTTCCATTTGGATAGGATTCCTAGACCGCGACTAACAAAGAAGGGATCATGGCAAGCATGGATCTGCTTGTTGGTCGGGAAAAGATAGCCACCAACGTGACACCAACCCCTCGGTGGCTTTACGTACGAGACAGATGGTATTCTACAGGAGGAACTGGCCAAGGAGAAAATGCTCCATATTTCGTGGTCTCCAGTTTGGAAGGTGTTCTTGGGATGATGTTGACTCCATCTGCTGGGCGTATCTGCAACCGTCGTGCGAAGTTGGCGGTGTGCTCTGATGATAGTGAGAAGAGTGACCAGAAAATGACACGAACATAGCCTGACCTGCTCTCTATCCCGTGTCCGCTCTAGGAGTGCTCGAAATTGCGTGCTCGCGTTGCCAGAAAAACAAAACAGAGTTCATAGCTCCCCCCTCCATTCGAGTGTTACCGCCATGTCTCATCAATCATCATGTCCGCCGCTCAGGGCGCATCTGAACTATTGCATACGGGAAAGGTGTGGCAGACCCTCCGCGCAGCCATTAGACGTCGAGCCAGCCAGCCTCTAAGAGGGCCCTAACGCCATCAGCACCTCATCAGTCAAATCAACCCAGCTTACAAGTCTGTCCATGTATAATGCGGGTGAGTGGGCTGTCACCGTTGGGACGCTCAGGCGTTCTGACACTCTGGGGGAAGCATGGCGGATGGACGTCGTGGTGATCTCTTTCTTGCTTTCCCTTCTAAGTAGACCACCTTAAATGAGGACGGAGGACAGAAACAGGTAGCCCGGAGCTTGTATCCCCCTCCTCAAAAGCTTGCTGAGCAAGACTGCAGTTTGGACTTGGGGTACCTCTCCAATCCCCCCCTTGCGTTTATTTCTTCTTCCTCTTCTCCTATCTGCTCAACCGACAACCGGAATGTCCCAGAGTCATGGATCAAAGTCAAAGGTTCCATGGAGTTGAGGTGGTGGTTTTGTTCTTGGATCCCTTGCCCGCTGCACGCGAGCACATCATCCACACCCCATTTCACTCCGGCCCTGCGCCATTCACCCGCCTGTCCCCCCTTCCAGACTCCAGTAGCCGTACCTTGTGGCTCCTCCAATCTGCTTTTTTCCCTTGGGCTCTCTGCGTGTCTCTGTATCTCCACGGCTTGAGGTTGTTGTTGTCTGAGAATACCGCGCCTGTCCCGTCGTTCCGCCGAGTTCGCCCACTCGTTCGGGGTTACTCGTAACGGCGCGCGGTGCAAGGTACATGACCGAAATGGTAGGTGCTGTGTTTGGAGTACTCAGGTACTTACTTGGCCCGCACCCGCCCTTTTTAGTCGGTGACGCCTTAATCAGTGACAGACTCCATCCACTGCCACCGTCATCCTCTCTTTTCTGGCTGTGGCCCAGCAGGAGAGATCCACCCCTCACCCCCCCTTATCCTCCTCTTATCATCCATCCCGCTTTCTTCCTTCCTTCCTGTCCGCTGTTGGTTCCAGTAGACTGCTGCCACATATATCCAGTGTGTGGCCTATATCCGACCACTTCTTGACCTCTTTCTTATTATGTATGCCTGATCGACCTCGACCTTGAACTTGTCCAGTTCACCGACTTTAAGACGTTGTTCAACGACAAACATACAACACTTGCACTAAACAGGCTATTAATACGGGGCGCCGTTATCGAGGCGTCACTGCGATACCGCGACTGGGGGGGCCTTATCGTGATTGTTCGCCCATCCTTTATCGGACGAACACAACTCAACTACTTACATACCTCTTCGGCCTGTGTTTGTTCCAAATCGACGACTTGGCAACAAGACAAATACGATGGCTTTCCATCAACCTACCCGGCGACCTTCGCAGCAGCGTGCTGTCCGCCCTGTGCAAGAGGAGGATCGTGACATTCCCCAACTTCACGCCCAAGATCCTGCTGCTACCGATACCTCCCACTCGTGGGTACTTTTCGAACCAACCGATGACACAACGACAGCTTCCTCCTACCTCAGCGAAGAGGAGGAGTCCCTTCCCACACCGGGCCGGTCCAGACTCAGTGACATCGGCAGCCTCAACACGTTCCTTCACTCGGCCCGCGATACAGAGTCTCGGCAGTCGGGAGTCCTCTCAAGTGCTATTGACGAAGAATCAGTCGAGGACGATGCTGAACTCGAC